ATTAGGAGTATGCCACGTCGGATCAATGCTTGTTTGGCAAACAGAGGAGGATTTACCCGTTACTGACTTGGTTGTGATGCTGTGGTAACTTTGCTGTTTGACCCCGGGTATCATTTTACCCTTATAATGGTCAGTCTGTGCCTTACTTAGTCTAACGATCATTTGGAATAAATCGATGAATGTGAACTTCATTTCATTTTGTCATTTGTTTCTTCGTCAGTTTCATTAGGTGACTTTAATAACACTTAAAAATCAAATATCCCCTACTTTTTTTGAATAGTATATTAAAGACAAGAAAGGACTTGTAAGAATAGTCAATGTGAAAACTAAACATTCTTTACTTCAGAGACCGGTTGATAAACTTTGTTTGATATTAGAAGCTAATGGTGAACCGACGTCTGACGATCATAAAAATTAACTGTTTGTCAAAATCTGTGAAAGCTAGTGTTTAATTTGATCGATAATGTTTTAAGCAGGACATTTAAGTAAAGAACTTTACACTTTAGTTAGTGAAACGTTAATTGTATCAATATTAATCAGTATTGATATATCCTCATTTAATATTGTGTTGGATATTATGAAAACTGTTTAGATTACGAAAGAACTGACACTGATTTAATATGTTTAGTTTACTTTAATTTTGCCCTTATAAGGTTAACATTAAAACTTTTTTAAAGGGATTAATATTAGGGAGCCGGTGTGTAAGGGTCAAAATACTTAAATTTGTATTTGATAATATTTACATGACAGTGTGCCTTTAAGTGAGCAGTACGCCCGATAGATTGTGGTCATTGGTCAGGTGATCATTTTTTCCCGGAAACGAAAGATTATTGTATGATCTGGAAAATATCTTTCACGGGTTAGGTTTAAGAATTTGGGGGAGAGGTTAAGTCTCCACATAAGCACCGACCTAGGATGATGAAAAGTTAGTTCGCGATATTTCCTAGTTTTATTAAAAATACATACAATACATTAGGTTAATTTACAAAAGTGATTTCATTGTTTTTGGTGTTGGTGGCGCTGATGGTCTTCCTTGGATGGTACTTCTGGTATTCTGGTATTTTTGTTTCTGAAGAAGAAAACGAATAAATTTGAGGCTCTCGAGGAGAGCCACATTAGTGTGTTTCCTACTACGAATTGGATTTTCTAAAAAAAAAATCGTGTTTGTTCGGCCAATGCAGGGATCGAACACCCGACCTCCAGGTTAACGAGCTAACGTCTTACCCACTTACTTTGTATATATATTTATAATTGTTGTTATTGTCTTTTCAGGCAATCAGTTCTGATTTAGTAGAATGTCCTCAATAAAGTATAGAAAGAAAAGAAAGTTTTTACTTGATGAGTGAAAGACTAAGAGAGGTCTGAATTGCATAAGCTAAAATACATAGGCTAACCAGTTTACCCCTGTAGACCAGAAATGACAAAGCTGTAACCTACAACTATGTGAACTATTTGTGTGAACTTTTAAATAATTAACGTTTATTTTGTTTTGTTCCCTCAAATAGAGACATTTTAGTTTATGTGAACAATACAACTTTTTAAAGGGGGAGGAATGTAGTATTTATGATTACGTTTCGTATTATTATTATGTATGGCGTCATACCAGTAGAATATTTTGGTGTTCATTTTACCCATAGTGTCTTAGTGTAACATGTGCTTCTGGTAATATACATGTCCCCGATCCAGTTTTGATGTCTCTGTGGTTTATCGTTCTGTACTAGTCTGTGGTGATTTATTTACATTGTATGTATCAGTATACTACACCAGGATGTTACCATCCGATAAAATTGTAACATCTAGAGTGTTTACGAGTTAAAAACGTGATTTTTCGCACAACCAGGGGCCATAATCCATGAAGTTACGACCCAATATGGACACAGATTACCAAATATTTCTACGCCGTCACCCCACGAAACAAGGGCAAAAGTTATTTTATTTTTTCCCCTTTTGCATAGCGATTTTTGTTGACTTTTTGGTGTAGAATCGAAAAAAAGGGTTTGAAAATACATTTTCTGCCAGGTTTTGGTGAATATTCATGATTCTGAGGCGGAAGGATACAAGAGTTGTGAGGTTGGTTACGTTGAAATGTAGGGCCGGAAATTGCATGTTTACTTGTCTCTACTTCCAGCTTGTGTATCTCAAGTGTTTCATGGTGAACCTCATACATGCTTTTGGGCAAGAGTTTGCCACATGTTGCTCCATCTGTGGCAGAAAGCGTTCTACCCAACGAAAATTTGGGAAAAAGTTAGAGCCGGTCTAAGAGACGAGAATTAACATTAAAGTCAATGGGGAAATAATTAGTGATCTGTGGCCATATGCGCGAATATCGAAAGGAACCAACCCGAGAAAAATGACATTGGGTGTGACCAGTGGGTTATCAGGTTCTTGTATGGACACGTTGGCACACAAATCAGATCTTATGAGGCTTATCAGGTTCTTGCATGAAATATTCTTATTTTTATATCAGGTTAAAACTATTATAGACTTGGTTATCATGTCAATATATTCACAGTGTCATCATGATTACAGTCAAGATGGATACTACCCATCTACGTTCAAATGGCACCCTTATCTCAAGAATCCATTGTTTACGGTAATACAAGCATGAGCAATGAGCGGATTTCCCTACTTCCTTATGTAGACATAGTTTTCCAGTGAAATGAAATGATTTTATTTCCAAACACCTACGGCCGAATAGAATATACATGTATTTCAAATTTTTATGTGAATGTTTTTTTTTTAAATGCTAGGATGATTCATATGATCGTATAATAGTGAACTGCAAACCTATTAAGCAATAGTAATACTTATGTTTTGACTTTTTTAGAAAATATAAAATTATCGCTTTAAACAAAATATTGTTACCAATAATTGTTGATAACGCCTTTTACCGTAAATGGATTTCCAGAAGTCCGTATGTTCACCTGTCCATTATGTTTTCTGAGTTTGGGTTTAAATCAAAATTTAAGCAATAGCATATTCTTTGCACAGGATAAAGGCATCGGGTGTTTTCGCCAATATTTAATTTTATGTCAACTTCACAATTGTTAGTTACTTGACAATTTTCACAATTTTGATCTGGCCCTAAATCGAGTTATTGCAATCATATTGCTTGGAACTTTTTGGATTTGTGTTGCTGGGCCCTTATTCACGAAAACTTAAACTAAGATACAATCGAAATTTTAAGAAATACTGCAAATCGATTGGCTGATCAGTAAAATCAATTTGCATATATCCAATTTGCATATTGGTCAGCCAATCGAATTGCAGTATTTCTTAAAATTTCGATTGTATCTTAGTTTAATTTTTCGTGAATAAGGGCCATGGGCCCTGTTTCACAAAAACTAAAATCACTAAAATAGATTTAACTAAAATCAAAATGAAATTTTAAATTTTATGCGTTTCACGAAGATCGATTATAACTTAAAATGCAAAATGTTGGTGGTCAACCTCATACAAATTTTAGTGCAAAGACATGACCATTTGTTCCTCTGTCTGTTTTGTGAAAAGCATTCAGCCCAACGAAAATTTGGGGAAAAGTTGGAGGTGGGCAAAGAGGCCAGAATTAAAGGGACAATAACACCACTGCTGGCTTGAAAGCTCCAGAAAATAAATAATATCTCTATCTAAGTACTAGATGTTTAAGTGTCCTACCTGTTGTGTAAATTATCCATTACATCCTATTTTACTTGTCCAGAGGGTTCGAAAATATTTTTAAATCGAAGTTTCATTTGAAAAGGTTTACGTTAGACGTTTCAAATCATTATGTTGAATTTTTCAAAATTTTTAAATAAGGTGTGTTAAGATGAAATTTGTATCATCAATTAATTGAATATTCTAAAATAGTACAATTTGTTGACCAGAATAAAGATTGGGACATATTATTCAGTTACAACAAGAGTGGTATTGAGCCTTTAACATTGAAATCAATGGAGAAATTAATGGTGGTCTGCCCCCATAATATCTCAGACGAATTAATGCCCTTGACGCAGTTAAACTTCGCCACAAATAGCCTGTATGAACGCAATTTTTAAGATGGATACTTTTTAGAATTTTGCGTAACGTGTAGAAACAAACAAACCACCATGCCACTTTCTCGTTAATTTTCCCAAAGGGCAACATTGTAACCCAGGTATCGTTTAATCTTGTGTATCTAGCACTAATTTCTTTCACATTCGTTTAATATTAAATCTTTGTTTAAAAATCTGAAAAACTGTTTAAAATCACCATAAATCGTTTAATTTGTACTTCTGTCCAGTTTAAAGATGACCATTCAATTTTGATAATGAGTTTCCAATTTACAAGTGTTTAATTTCTCAATCATTGTTAAAAAAATAAACAACCCAATTGATTAATGATGTATAATGATTAATTTTTGAACAGTGATCAGGAAATTAAATACTTGTAAATTGGACACTCATTATCAAAATTAATCAGTCAGCTATAAACTGGACACATGTACAAATTAGATGATTTTTGGTGATTTTAAACAATTTTTACGAATTTTTTAAACAAAGATTTGATATTAAACGAATGTGAAAGAAATTAGTGCTAGATACACAAGATTAAACGATACCTGGGTTACAGTATATAGTTCCGTAAAAATATTTTACTTGCTTTGTCTACAAGAAAATCCAAAATACTGTTCACGTCAGTAGCCAGATTCGAGTGTAAAGATCATCACAGTGATAATGCTTAAAGCTTCTTCATATAATGATATTATATGGTAAAAGTATTAATACATTTAAATGTGGTGAATATTCATTTATTATAATATAAACCTATTGTGTTACAGATTTTAAATATAAATCATCACCTGTAATACATTTCTTCTATAATGTTTCAGCTTGATCCCATAAAAATGCGGACACGATGAAGTCGAGTTTTTATGAGTTTGTGAATGTGCTGACCATAGAATCGGACTGGTTGAATAGTAAATAGGTTGTCATCGCTGGAAAATACCAACTTGTATTACATCTTGCCAAAATGAAACTGCATGCTTAGTCATTCCATGACTCTTCTGGTATATGTCCCGAAGAACTTACACGTAGGCGACGAGACTGTAGAGAAGATTTTAACAAATCTGTTTTAGGTTTTTCTTTAGCCCCTGGCTTTAACTGGACACCCTTAATCATATCTGTCATTTTCTCTTGTTTCTTAGATGTCTTGGGTGTGTTCGCCAAGACTGGAGACTTGTTTGCTGCTGCTTTTAACATCGCATTATCCCTCATTCCCTTCAGAACATCCGTAGTGTGTTTTTTGTTGTTTGGCAAGGGTTTTGCTACTGGTGGTTTAGATTTAGTGTTGCCTTTTTTGGACACAGGTGGAGGAGGAGGGGCAATAGGAACATCAGGTTTGGGGCTTTTAGGAGACTTAATCGCTGGTGGCGGGGGTGCTAACGGAACGGATGGTTTAAGGGGGGCAGGTTTGGTTTTGGTAATAAGGGACTTTGGCACCGTACGATTTCCAGGGACCACGGGCTTGTTCAAGTCTGGGGGAATCTGTGCATAATCTTGTTTAGGAGAGGTTGGTGGCTTTGGCCCAAAAATCTTATTGGATTTAAGAGAACTTGGCTTTTCTGAGGCTGTTTTCTGTATTGGGGGTGTTCGGGGTGTCATGGGTATAATTGGTTTCTGAAGGTTTGAAGCAGAATTTGTCTTTTTATTTAACACTAACGGCGTTGATGATACTATTGGCAAAGGTTTGTTTGATTTCAGTGAGCTTAGCGCAAACTTTGGATTTACATTGGCGGTTTTGGTTACTGGGGGAGGTGGGGGTATTAAGGGAATTTGGGATCTAGGTGGGCTTGGTTTTGACTTCTGTTCTGTTTTGGCTAGTTCAGAAGCTGTTGGGGCATGTGGTGCTGAAGGGACAGGCTTATTGGTTTTTGATGAATATGGCCTTTTTGAGACTGTTTTCTGTATCGGGGGTGGTGGAGGTGCCAAGGGTACGATTGGTTTGGGAGGGCTTGATGCAGAATTTGGCTTTTTATGTAACATTAACGGTGGAGACTTCGGCTTTACAACGACACTTTTTGGTACCGGGGACGGTGCGGGTGCTAACGGAATTGGAGGACTTGGTGTTGACTTTGACTTCGTTTTAGCCATTTGAGATGATGTTGGGGAAGCCGGCTTGTCAGACTTTGATGAATACGGCTTTTTCGTGACAGTTTTCTGTATTGGGGGTGGTGGGGGTGCCAAGGGGATGATTGGTTTAGTAGGACTTGGTGCAGAATTTGGCGGTGCTTGTATTGTAGTAGGTCGTTTAGTCTGTGTATTCGGCTTTACAAGGATATTTGGTGGTGGGGGTACGAAGGGAACCGGAGTTCTTAGAGGAATGGATGCTGACCTTGGATCTGTACTGACTAAATTAGGCACTGGAGGGGTCGAAGGAGGCAAAGGAACTGTGGCAAGAGATTTTCCGGGTATCTGTTTTTCTGTATTAAGAAACGCATGTGGTGGAGATGGTAAGTGTAGAGTCTTCTTGGGAGATTTCACGACAGATTTTGACTTTGTATCCTCTCTTTGAAGTACAGGATGGGGGGTAGCAGTCACCTTCTTCGACTTTGGTTTTGTAAAATCTCTCTTAGGCTTCGAATGCGTTGAATGCGTCGGTGGAGGTGGGGGTGCTATAGGAACTGTAGGTTGACTATCCATGGGTGGATTTGGCGCAATTTTAGATTTTAACGAGGGTAAAGGTCCTTTTTTGGACAGTGCTAAAATAGGTTTTGTAGATAAGTGTGCCGTCTCTGGTTGTGCAGGTCCGATATGTGGTACTGGGGGTGGAGTGGGTGCTGGCGGAACTGTTCTTGAAACTGGGGAAAAAGCAACAATATCATCTAGAGATGCATTTGTGCCATCTTTAGTGAGTGTTGTTGGTGGAGGAGGCGCTATTTTATTTTTGGGTGACAAACCCATCTTTTTGCTAAGACATTTGGGTAGAGGAGACAATGAGACACATGAAGGTGGATCGACAGGGCGTACTGTAAGTGGAGGAAAGGGGGCTGGTTTACTTTTGGGTAAATGACGTTTGGGTATATTTGACACGGGTATTGGTGTTGGGATTACCTTTGGTGATTTCTTTTGATACACTTCTTTAGTTAATGGTGATGGTCTTGGGGGTTGGGGTGCTGGCCCTTTTGTTGATTTTGAACTGAGAAAATCGGGTTTATATGGCTTGTTATTTGCCATTAATTTGTTTACATTTCTCGGCGGTAGTGCAGGTGGCAAGCCCAGACTGTCAGTGCTTTCACAAAATGTTTGCGATACCGAAGGATACGAACTTATGGGTTTAAATGGATTAAACAAAGCATGCGGTTTTTCCTCCTCAAAAGCAAATGACCACCGAGATGCGTTTTCCAACTCTAGAAGTTCACCAATTAATATAGATTCTAATGAATGCTTTGAAACATTTTCGGTAATCTGGTGTTCTTCTAAATTTTCAATAGAAGCTCGAGAATGCATTGAAGCTTGTTGCTGTATTACAACAGAGTCCCCATCGTTTGATGATTCAAGTAAGGTGTTATTTGTTTGGGAATGATCAGGACAAAATGTTTTTGGGACAAGTTTTTCTGATATTTCCTCTAACTCCTGGAATTAAAAAAATATAATATAAAATGCACCGTGTATAAGGTGAGTTTGATGCTCCACCTTCCGATTAGAAAATATGAATCTACCGTTTATTTTCCGGTGGAAAATGTTGAATTATCATAAGTCTTTACTCCAAGGCTTCATAATTGAATTACAGGGACATCGTTGATATCTGGCAATTTCAGTCAGTTCGAAAAAGCTATAGTATATGTTTCAGTCGGTACTCATGTGATAGGATAGGGTGGCGAATTTAGCGGAACTGGCATCAGAATGTACAGGGCCGTTAGGGTACGAGGTATAGCTATAGCCATAACAAAGTTGACCGAAACTTTCGACTTGAGATTTTAGAATTAAAGATATTAACCCTCACCTGATTCAACACATTCTTTGCTGAATGCGTTAGTCCTTTATATTTTTGGAACAATCTGCAAATTAGATGAATTCCACCCTTAACGTATTTAACAACTTGATTTAATCATATATGTGTACTAGTAAAAAAAAGAATTTGAAATACACCATGATGCGCTGGCAATATTAAAGAGCATATGAAATGACCATATACAAGTGGTATACTTCTTCGTGTTGTTGATGTTTCACATCTGCTTCCACTGTAGTGATATCGCAGACAGGCATTGTGATTACTCCTATTATTAGAATATGAATTTGCAATCTTTCCATTTGTGGCTTATGGCCATGAATTAGGTTAAGCTGGAATTGCTTCTCTTTGTTTTGAAGACATATTGGACTCAGCTAACCGAGTTGCAACAATGGTACGTGCTTGAAGCCATTGTGCTATTATGCACTTTACACCCGTTTCACACCAATCCGATTGAATTTTTCGATATATGGCAGTTAGTGTGTCAGCTGCTCTAAAACGCTTTTCAGTTTTTCCGATTACTGCCATAATCAGGTTGATTGGCGAGTGACGTCACATGAACTACAATAAACAGTATGTGCACGTGGCGGATCAGCTTTCGTTTATTAACAGAATGGTTGGGTTCGATGAACATGCTGACTGAACTCTAGACTACCGACTAATCATTATATATAATAGGCTACAATTAAATAATCCATAGAATTGTTTTGTTTATTTTAACCCTTTCTCGTCTTGAATTGTTAAAATTATAAAATAACAGAACCGAACGTATTCAGATAGACTGTTATATACGGTATAGAGAAATGAAATGGGGTTTAACGTCCTACTGTTCTGCTCCTAACCTGGGCTAATGAAGACTGGCATACGCCATACAGTGTGCTATGAGGGAAATTTTGCCCGGGCAGCGGCACTATCGCCTACTCTTATAACGAATTCCAACTGCCAAGGGATCTTTTACGTGCATTCCAATGTATACACGGGACCTCGGTTTTTCGTCTCATCCGAAGGACTAAACAGCAGTCCTTGTCAGGCCCTCAGTTCTGCACCACTGACATGGGGAAACCGCGTCGGAACGGTATAGTAAAGTGTAACATGCATGTGTAGAGTTGCAAATTAAAAAAATTAATTTAGATTACTATTGTATAATACTTAACGAGCCATTATAATTTTGAGTTGTTCGAAATTATTATCCTGTGATTGGAAATTATATTCTTGATGAAATGTGAAAATGCCCTAAGGTTTTCGGGAATGGGGAGGTAGCCGCGAAATGGAAGGTGGTGAGACGCTGAATATCGATAGGACTGGCTCTCTCATGACCCCATGATTGGAAATTATATTCTTGATGAAATGTGAATAGGGTTGGGACAATCAACATCGGCTACAAACGCATTTCATTTTTTCGAGGCGAAATAGACCACATTTTATGATTTTAGTCGAAATAGTGATGAAAACTGAGTTTTTGGGTTGGGGCAGCGGCCATTTTCAAAATGGCTGCAAAAAGCTATTTTTTCAGTTATTATCAATATAACTTGCGAAGATAGGCGTGTCAAATGTCTTTTTGCAGGTTTTCGGGGTGCTACGTTCACAAAATGATGTTTCGGCACAATCCGATAAATGTCCGCCATCTTAGATCCAATATGGCGGCCAAAATGTCTAATTTTACCCCTTTTTCTCATTTAACCGTATTTCATGGCATGAAATAATTTTTTGGGGATTTCGGGTGAGCTGTCAGCTCAAAAAAGTGTGTTCTGGCAGTCCGGTACAATTAGATAAGTGGCCGCTATCTCAGATCCAATATGGCGGCCAAAATGGCGCCGAAAATGGCAAATTTGGCACTTTGTTCTTCATTATTCCTTTTCCATGACTAATATGTTTTTTTATAGGTTTTGAGAGGTGGCGATTTCAAAAATAAAAGTTTTCACAAATTCCGATATTTGTCCGCCATCTTGGATCCAATATGGCGGCCAAAATGTCTAACTAAACATGTTTTCTCAATTATTCGGTTTTCATGCCATTAATTTGTTTTTTGTAGGTTTTTGTGGTTGAAAATAGCTATAAACGAGGCTAGAGTCACACAAAGACTCCAGAAACGTTCTAAAAATCTATAGAAAGTATTTTAGAACGTTTCTGGAGTTTCTGTTTGACTCTAGCCTCGTTTATAGCAATTTTCAGATTCCCGGGGATGAGGTTGCTGAAAACTTCAAGTGGCTATAACTTTTGAACGGTTGGCCCTAGAGACGTTTTGAAAAAAAAAAATTATTAAATCGACCCCGTAGTACAATTTCCTGCTAGGCCTTCATTTTTGTAATGGAAAAAGTCCAAAATGGCTGGCACCCTTAGAGAATCATACGATTTTGTTCAAAATTGGTGGGCATAGTCAATGCACATAACCTCCACATATACCAACTGGACCCGTGTATCAGACAAAATTTATGTTTTCGTTGTCACCCTAGGCTGCAAACTTGGTTCCAATATAGCGGCAAAAGTCCTAGGAAATGAAAACAATCTCGCGTAAATTTTCATTTAAAATATTATCACATCTTTATTATCATTTCAAAATCGCAGAAGATCAATCAAGAAGTGACGACAGTATTGAATAATAATACAAATACTATAGCAAACAATTATGAAATAAATATTTTTAAATTGCTTAAAACATCCACAAAGATCTAAGACGCCACTGAATAGAATAGTGACCCAAATGTAATAGTGATCTATTACGCCATCAGCACGCAAAACCAAAATTGAAATTATGGTCTTGGAAATATTGAAAATATCAAAATTGAAAATAACAATATTGGTTTTGCTGCAGATGGCGTAATAGATCACTATTACATTTGGTTCACTATTCTATTCAATGGCGTCTTAGATCAAAGATGTGCAAAGTATTTCACTATATACAACGTTATGATAATCAATGGGATTGTAGGCCTATTGATTATCATGCTCAACGTTAGTGAAATACTTTGCACATGTTTGATCTTGGACGCGATTGAATAGAATAGTGACCCAAATGTAACAGTGTAGGCCTATTGGTTATCGTGATCAATGTCGTACTTTGTACATCTTTGTGGATGTTTTAAGCAATTTAAAAATATTTATTTCATAATTGTTTGCTATTATACTTGTATTATTATTCAAT